TCATGCTTTGTAAACCTTGATTGTGAAACCGAAAAACCAATGGGTTTGTGCTACTACTTGAGCCAATTAAGCAGAGACAGGTTAGAATCATATATGAGTGTTTATTTCAAAACGAAAGCAGCAGGTCATTCTTGAAAATCTGCTTTGCACCCCACCTATAACCCAGCTGCTTATCTTGAGTAGGACAAAGATTACCTGGGGAAGTAGGCAAAAAGGATAAGAACGGGTGTGCAGATTATAGCTTTGGGGAAATAGCAATTAAAGTAGGGTGGGATTCCATTATTTAGGCAATAAGACTGTTAATCTTTCCAAGATAATAAGCAATTCTTGAAGGATATGGATTGCCTTCCAACATTGATTCCCTGGGGGCTTACAACTCCAAGCAGTGTTAGAATGTGCTATCTTTAATCAGAATAAAACAATTGTTAGGGGCACAAATAGAATATTGGGAACTAGCTGTAGTTATTAGAAATATTGCCAAAACCGGTTTGTCTCGGTGGATGGAGCATCAGCCTGCAGACAGAAGGATCCCAGGATCCACTCCGGTCAAGGGCACATCCCTGGTGGATGTTTCTTTCTTTCTTTTTTAAATATATTTTATTGATTTTTTTACAGAGAGGAAGGGAGCGGGATAGAGAGTTAGAGACATTGATGAGAGAGAAAGAAACATCAACAGCTGCCTCCTTCACACCCCCTACCGGGGATGTGCCGGCAACCAATGTACATGCCCTTGACCTTTCAGTCCTCAGACCAAGGCTCTATCCACTGAGCCAAACCGGTTTCAGCTCCAATTGATGTTTCTGACTCTCTATCTCCCTTCCTCTCTGTCTCTGTGAAAGATCAATAAAATATGTTAAAAAAGAATATTCTTTGCTGAAACTGATTTGGCTCGGTGGATAGAGCATCAGCCTGCAGACTGAAAGATCTTAGGTTAGATTCCAATCAAGGGCACGTACCCAGTAGGGGGCATGGAGGAGGCAGCTGATTGATGTTTCTCTCTCATGGATGATTCTAACTCTCTCTCCCTTCCTCTGTAAAAAAAAAAAAATATATATATATATATATACATATATATATATATATATATATATATTTTAATATATATTTTTAAAAATATTAATCATGCTCTGTTAACCACGATTGTTTTATTTTTCTTTTTTTAATTTTATTGATTATGGTATCACATATGCCCCACTGCCCTGTTGTCCATGGCCATGGGGAAGGCCCATATGCATGCACACAAGTTCTTTGGTTGATCTTTCCCCTTTACCCTCCCCTACTTTCTCTCTGAGATTTGAGAGTCTGATTGTTGCTTCTCTTTCTCTGGGTCTGTTTTTGTTCATCAGTTTATGCTTTTCATTATTGTTTTTCTTTTTTGTGTATTGTGGCCTCTGTGAGACAGAATTCTGTGGGAATAGTCCAGCCTGAAGTGGGGCTGATTGTAAAGCAGTCCTTTTTGCCATAGTACCAGTGAGGTTGCTTCCTGTAATGTTTGTGTTTCCCTTTGATGTCCTTTATAGTGAACTGCAGCTACCTCTGCAGGCTTTCCTCTTGTTTGTAAGAGAGTCAGTATTTCCTGGAGAAGCTGAGTAGGGCAGTTCTTTGCTTTAAGAGTCCCCTTCCTTTTTATGTTGCTGTATGGAGGAGGAAGGCATACCTGGAGTCGTAAATATGGACTTTTGTCCCTTCCTCAGCTGTAGGACTCTGGTCAAGGCAATGAGCTCAGCCTTCGGTCAAAAGCATTTGGAGGCAATGCCCGGGCTGGTCTATTATGGTCTATTGCTGTATATCTAATTTTCTTAATGTTTTTCCTTCTAAAATTATTGTCATTAGCAAACCATACTTTATCAGAATTGCCTAATAGCTGGTATTTTAGATCAGGCCTGTCTGAAAAAACTTGTTCTACTATTCTTACACAGGAGTGCCAAATATCCTCCTTTCCATTCACAGGCAGGAGGGTGGCTGCAGTGGGTTTAACATACTTTGGGAGTCACCTCAGGGGAGTCTAGGAGTAAGGCCCGGTATCTAGTGAGGGTCCCCCTGTAAGTCATATGGCCTTTAGTTCTAAGAACCTTTGAATCTACCGTAGTGTGGGGTCTGGACCTCTAGTGGCTGTCCCAGTGTTAGCATGGCGGCCTATTTTACCAGGAGCATTGTGGTTATAACAGCCCTTAAAAATGCTAGCCATGCCCAGTTGGCGTGGCTCAGTGGTTGAGCATCGACCTATGAACCAGGAGGTCATGGTTCAACTCCCAGTCAGGGCTTATGCCCAGGTTTCGGGCCGGAACCCCGGTGTGGGGATGCAGGAGGCAGCTGATCAAGGAACTCACTCTTCATTGAAGTTTCAATCTCTCCCTTCCTCTCTCTTTCTCTCAAATAAAAAAAATAAAAAAAATAAAAAAAAAATAATATATATATATATATATATATATATATTTTATTTTATTTTATTTAAATGCTAGCCATGCCTGGCCAATGTGGCTTGGTGGTTGAGCATTGACCTATGAACCAGGAGGCCACAGTTGACTCCCAGTTGGGGCACAGGCCTAGATTGTGGGCTCAATCCTCAGTGTGGAGCATGCAGGAACCAATCAATCTTATGATTCTTTCTTATCATTGTTTCTATCTCTCTCTCCCTTATCTGAAATTAATAAAAACATAAACATATATATATATATATATATATATATATATATATATATATATATATATAATTTTAAAATCTCCTTAAGGAAAGGGTCAGAGGTTCTACCCATCCCTCTCCCTCACCACCACCTCAGTGTCTGGAGCCCCCAGGAGCTCTGCTCTGGATCTAGCCTTCTCCTCAAAAGCAAACCAGGGAGAGCGAGCTGCAGGAATCTCACCGAGTCTGATCGGTTCCCTCCTGTGGGAGGGTATTGTTGCCCTGGGCGAGGCTGCTGGGTTTAAAGAGCTGGAACCCACCAAGCTGAACACAGACCTGCTCTGCGCACCCTGCCCTCTGGTGAGCTCAGAACTGGCTCTCAGGTGAGCAGGCGACTGCTAGGCCTTCTGGCAGCTGGGGGGGGGGGGGGGGGGTGCGGCAGAGGAATGGCCCAGACTAACAGCCTGAGGAGGGGGTGGTGGTGCCCGGATGCTCTCGGGAACAGGGGTCCTGTTTGGGGGTTTGAGAGTTGGAGGTGCCTATTCTGTGACCCCTGTCAGATGGATGGAGGAAACAGGAGCCAGCCTCAGTCTAAAGATTATGTAAAGTGGAGTTGCAGCCCTCAGGGTCCAGGAATTCCAGGGCGTGAGAGGAGAGAGGCAGGCTAGTCTACAGGAGGGCAGCTCAGAGACTGCTCCAAGGACACACCTTGCCTACAGAGGCGGCATGTGAAAGGCCCTCCCTTCAAGGCAGTAGGACCGAGGTATTAATGTATTTATTCTTGTAATACCTTTTACTGTTCTTAGACTTGACAAATTAACTTACTTCATTCAGTCATAACCCCATGAGGCTGCTATTCTAGTCATCCTGATTTTACAGGACAAAGACGCACAGAGAAATTAAGTAACTCCGAGTTACACGGCTGTTAAGTGGCTTAGGCTTCCCCGCCAGTTGAATCCAGCAAATGGTAACAATGGCTTCCTATGGAACACCGACCATCCCTATCCCTCCGCAGCAACAGTATGCAAAGCCTTGGGAAGGGCCTTATCTCCAGGGTCGGGCCACCCCAGGGACTAGTTCTGGCGCCGTAAGGCGAAAGATGGATGTCCCACCCACCTCGCAGTTTCCTGCCAGTAGCAGCTGGCACTCTGAGTGGATTTGGGGCAGCCTGGAGCAGGGTCCCTGCCAGGCTGGGGTGGGATGGGAGGCTCTGTCTGCCCCTAGCAGTCCTCCACTCCCCTAGTAAGCCGCTGGCTGATCTGCCCAGCTCAGACCTGGCGCGCTCTGTGAAACAATAGCCCAGGACCTGCCCTTTGTGTGCAGTTAGGAGAGCGGGCATCAAAGCGTGCATCAGTACACCTGAAACTAATTCAAAATAATACTGAATGTAGCCGAAACCGGTTTGGCTCAGTGGATAGAGCGTCGGCTTGGGGACTGAAGGGTCCCGGGTTCGATTCCGGTCAAGGGCATGTACCTTGGCTGCGGGCATATCCCCCAGTAGAGGATGTGCAAGAGGCAGCTGATCGATGACTCTCTCTCATCGATGTTTCTAGCTCTCTCTCTCCCTTCCTCTCTGTAAAAAATCAATAAAGTAGATATTTAAAAAAAAATAATAATAATGAATGTAAACTGCAATTTAATTTTTTTTAGTAACAAAAAAAGGGGAGGGGGACCTGAGTTAAAACAACAGCCCTGTTCACCTGACCTTGGGTCAGACATCTGACAGATTTTTTTTTTTTTTTTTGATCCTCACCCAATGATATGTTTCCATTGATTTTTATTTTATTTTTTAAAATATGTTTTTATTGATATCAGAGAGAAGGGAAAGGAGAGAAGATAGAAACATCAATGAGAGAATCATTGATTGGCTGCCTCTTGCACACCCCACACTGGATACCAACCCCACAACCTGGGCATGTGCCCTTGACCGGAATTGAACCTGGGACAAGTCAGTCCGCAGGTTGACGCTCTATCCACTGAGCCAAACCAGCTAGGGCTCCATTGATTTTTAGAGAGAGTAGAAGAAAGAGGGAAAGACATAGAGAAATATGGATGTGAGAGAAACACATCGATTGGTTGCCTCCTGCATACGCCCTGACCAGGGTCCAAGCTGGAGAGGAGCCTGCAACCAAGGTATGTGCCCTTGACTGGGATCGAACCTGGGACCCCTCGGTCTGCAGGCTGAGGCTCTATCCACTGAACCAAACGGGCTAGGGCCTGATATAGATTTTAACAAAGCCGTATAGTTACTCATATGCAAAGGCGCTGCTCTAAGCACTTACCCAATAAGCAAATGCACCTTTGGGGAGGGGGCCCTTGCTTTCCCACCTGACTCCAGCCTGACCCTCCCCCTACAGCCCTGCCCTGCAGCTGTGACATGGAGGGAGTGACCTGGGGCCTTCTTGTGCTGGCAGGTGAGTCCTCTGGGGGGGCCTGCTGTCCCTCACACCCACGGAGGCAGTGAAAAGCAGAGCAGCATCTCACAAGGGGGCCTGGTGTCAAATAAATGTTGTTAATATATTTTTATTGATTTCAGAGAGGAAGAGAGAAGGAGAAAGAGACAGAAACATTAGCAATGAGGGAGAATCATTGATGGGCTGCCTCCTGCACGGCCCGCACTGGGGATCGAGCCCGCAACTCAGACTTGACAGGAATCGAACCTGGGATCTTTGGGACTGCAGGCCAATACTCTATCCATTGAGCCAAATCAGCTAGGGCTCAAATAAATGTGTTTTTGTTTACACTGTCGATTTAAAGGGAAAAGATAGTAAGGAGATAATAGTTCAGGGAGGAAGTGGAAGCTGCACAATCTGTTCTGGGCAAATGAACTCGGGGAAGCCTGTAACCATCTGTTGGCATGAAGAGAATAGCGTCCCCATTCTTTAGGAAGAAGAGGGTCAGCTAGGGTCTGTGTTGGAAGCTTCCCGGAGAGGGGAGAGATACAGACATGCCATCCCATTTTGAGTGCAAGAATAGCAGGAAGCCTGCTAATAGCAGCAAGGGCTGAGTGAGGGGCCAAAGGCTGAGGGCTGGGACAACCTCAGCAGCACTGCCTGGGGCTGAAGGTGTGAAGGAGGGAACCAGCCCCAGGGTGCCTCCCAGTGAGCTGGCTGTCCTTGCCCTGTGGGCTGAGGTCGGCCTGCAATTCACGATGAGACCAGTGTCATGATCACCCAAATCCTCTGCTTCTCCCACCCAGGCCTGCCTGCTGTGGAAGCCAACGACCTGATTGGTGAGTGAGGCCCAAACTGCTCTTGCTGTCCCACATTTTCCCTCTAAGACCCCACATCCTGCCTCCAACGTTTTTTGGTCCTTACTTATTTTTTTCTTTCCTACAGATGAAGACAGTGCCTTCTATTACGGTAAGAGCTGATGTCCCTCACGCCACCCCTTCCCTCGCCTGTCCTGGACCTCTGCTAGCGGTTGGTGAGGGGTGCTGTGGAGCCCAGTGCAGACGTAGTGGGGCTTGAGGGGGTGAGAAGGAGGGGCAGCATGGCGCGGGAGCTGGAGAGTAAAGGCCAGTGTGGTCAACTGAAAGAACAAAGGCCAACATGCAACCTGGTCTTGGAAAGAACTTCCCTCCAGCATGGAAGGAAGGCGCCCGCCATGCTGAGGAAGCAGATTCTGGGAAAGTAGCTGCAGGCACTGGGCTGCTGGGTGGCCAGGTATCTCACACCAACCTTCTTCCTTCCCCTCATTCTCACTCGCCATTCTCAGCACCCAGGTCCCTGCTGCCCCCCAGCCTCCAGAGGGTTTGCACTGTCCTCCAACGCCCCCAAATGCCCTGAGCTTCCCCTTCACTCAGATCACATGCCACCATTCAGAAAAGCCTTCCTTTAAAAAAAAAAAATATATATATATATATATATATATATATATATATATATATATATATTTTTTTTTTTTTTTTTTTTTTTTTTTTTTTTTTACAGAGAGGAAGGGAGAGAGAGAGCTAGAAACATCGATGAGAGTCATCAATCAGCTGCCTCTTGCACACCCCCTACTGGGGATGGGCCCGCAACCAAGGTACATGCCCTTGACCGGAATCAAACCTGGGACCTTTCAGTCCACAGACCGACACTCTATCCACTGAGCCAAACCGGTTTCGGCAGAAAAGCCTTCCTTGATTATCCCTCAAACGCCCCCCGTTTTTTGTGTTTTTTTTTTTCCTGTGCTCTTCTGCTTAATGTTTTCTTCCTAGTCCTTGCTCCCACCAGATCATGGGCTAGTGCTGTGTATGTCTACTGGCTGGGTTCTCTGCCTGAAATGTGAGTGCATCTGCACGGGCAGGTGCTCACAGTTACCTGCCCGAGTGCTGGGGTGGAGCAGGCTGGCCCCAGCTCCCTCTCCTCCTCTCCTCCCTAGACTGGGAGACCCTGCAGCTGGGCGGGATGATCTGTGCTGGGCTCCTGTGCGTCGCTGGAATCTTGTTCGCCCTGAGTGAGCTGGGGGCTATGGGAAGGGGCTGAGGGAGGACATGTGAGGAGGGGGGGGCACGGTCCCCAGGCCCTTGCATTGGTGTCTCTTCCTCTCACAGGTGGCAAATGCAAATGCAAGCACAATCACAGTCACAGGTGAGCATAAGGCCCTACTGTGTGCGCCTCAAGCTGAGCAGACGGTTGGGAAAGCCCTGTAACTTGGAGAGAGGACAGCTTCTTGGCTGCTCCCCGGGCTGCGGTGGGATCACTCACAGATAATCCACCCCGAGGGGGCCCCACATCAGAGAAAGCTCTGAGCTCTGCCCTTTTTAAAATGATCGAATAGCAGGGGGCAGTTGGGGACCTCTCGGGAGGGGGCACCAGGAGTCTTGGTGGGGGACAGAAGGTCCACATATGCTAATCTGATGTTCCTCCCTCAGCCCCCTGTCTGAGAAAGCTGTTCCACTCATCACTTCAGGTGAGGCGGGCTTCTCCGAGGGGCTTCCGGGCGTCAGTCAGGGTGGCCACAGCCTTTGAGATAAAATGATATGCTGTGTGTCAGGCGGGACTGTGCCGGGCCAGCCAGCCTTGGGGTTGCCCGGGGCTGAGGGGGTGTCTGTGTAGTGACCACGTTGTGAGGACCTGCCTCCCACTCTCTCCACAGGCTCTTCCAGTGTCTGCTGAGTGAGGACCAGCTCCATGGCACCGCCAGGGCTAGCTCCCCTGCAGTTGGTTCCTGCCCCACTTGGGGCCTTAGGCTCCTCTGATCAAAGCTTATTTCTAATTAAACTGGCCTCCCTCCTCCCTTGGCCTCGTGACCTTCTGTGGGGCTGGGCAAACCAGGTGGGAGCTCTCTGATGGTGTCCGGCTCCAAACCCCCATTTCTCAATGGTGCCAGATCTGGAAAGAACAATGTGGCCTAGACTTTGGGTCCCTGTCTCGTGGGCTGGGGTTAGGAGGTCGGTGGGCAGGGACCCTGCCTCCAACTCGCATTCCCAGGCCCTGAGGTCTGAGAATGGGGCTCTTAGACCTACGTAGAGCCCTTCCAGCAGAACGTCTACGTGTAAGGGGCGGACTCTCGGCTTAGTCCAGAGCTGCGGCAGGAGCTCCGAGACCCTGAATGGGACCCGGGCCGCCTGGCTGTGGTGCAGCCACTGTCCAAGCTGAGCGGTGCAGTGTGAGCGGGAGCCACAGAGTGGACGGCTGCACCAAGCCCGTCTATCTGCCAGGCGGATTCTGCCAGCCCCAGCTCTCTGAGCGGGAGGAGGTGCACACCGGAGAAGGAGAGGGGTGGGTGGGTGCATGAGCACCAGTGGGTGAGGTGGTCAGGCCAGAGGTGACATCTAAGGTGACTCATCTGTGAACAGTATTAGAGCCAGCCGCGCAAACATCGTTCCTAGTGGAGGGCACAGTGTCTGTGAGCCACCTGCGGGACTCAGGCCTTCCTGCCTTTTCAGGGCTAGAGAAAGTAACTGGAATGCAGGCAGAGGAGGAGGCAATATGGCCACTGCAAGGAGTACCACTGCCCCCTGCTGAGCTGGGGCTCGGGATCAGGGAGCAGGGGAGGGAGCTCAGTGCAGGAGGAGCGCAGCGCCAAAGTGCGGTCTCCAGAGGAGGGCGCAGGCGGGAGCCAGCACAGCCTTCCCCACGGAGTGGGCTCACGCCCCTTCCCTGGGACACGGAGGATCTGGTGTGAGGAAGTAAACACGAGCTCTGCCCGAGAACCCTCTGGGGCCGCAGCATGGAGAGGATCTTGGCAGGCGCCCTCTGCGTGCCTGACCACTGCTGCTCTGGAGGAAGGTGGGTCCCCGTCCTCTCACGCTGTAACAAGGAAACCCCATGGTATCCTGGGGACCCAAGTCATTTTGACTCACGATGCGGAGTGCACAGGGAAGAGCATTCCACATTGCTCTTCCCATGTCGGTCCAGTGGACAAGGACACACACAAACACACACACACACCCCGGAACACATGGTTCTGCTCTGCTTGCAGCCTGCCAAGCCCGGCTTCATTTAAGTTTTGCTTGAACAAACCCCAGACCCCTCAAGTCCTATAAGCACCCATTTTGGGTGAGGGCCCCGCAGAGTGTGTGGGACAGGCTAGTGCTCTGCCCGTGAGCCTTGTCCAGTAATAGGCTAGCGCCTGGGGCTGAGGCTAACCACCTGTCCCCGGTGGGCACCTGCTCCCGAGGCTGCGGGGAGCGTGGGGCCATCCTGGGTGGGAGCAGTCAGGGCTGTTGGCGGAGGGAGGGCGATGCAGTGGGCAGTGTTCCCTGCCAGGCTGCCCCTGGAGCCCTGCAGGTGGGCTGCTCTGGAGGGCATGGGGAAGGTTGCCATAGGATGTGGGAGTCTCTGCCCCGGCTTCCTGTACTCCAGAGACCGCGGGGCCTTTCTCTCCAAGGGGAGTGGGTAGCTTTAGTTGAAATTCCCTCCTGTCATTTTCTTGCAGCCCAAGGAAGGATCAAGGAAAACAAAGGGTAATTTTCACCTGTTGAATCCTTAGTACGTGATGGACACATAGACAGTTCACATGTTAACTCCATTTCCCCAGCGGCATGCGACACAGGCTTGCATTGCCTGCTCTGTGCATAAGAGAAGACTCGGGCTTTCTTGCTTTTGAGCCATTCCTGAAGGACTAGACCCCGCTGCCTTTCTGATATTTATCATTATCTAAAAGAGACTGCCTGTTTGGGGACTCTATATCCCTCCTCCCCTGGAAGCAATCTTATTTTTTCTAATTGCAAACATTTTTCATGTCTATTAGAGGAAACTTGAACATTACAGAAGTATCTCAGAAGATAAACCATTTTCTAACCCAGCACCCCAAAATAAATCAAGGTTAAAAGTTTGATATATTCTAGAATTCTATTATATATATTTCTATAATTCTGGAGATCCTGCCAGGTTCTCCAGAATCAGTAGTTCATTAATAATCAGTAGTTCATTACTTTGTATTGCTGAGTAGTAGACTGAGAGAGTGCTTTTAAAATGAGGGCCTAGCCGAAACCGGTTTGGCTCAGTGGATAGAGCAGTCAGCCTAGGGACTGAAAGGTCCAGGGTTCGATTCCGGTCAAAGGCATATACCTTAGTTTCGGGCACATCCTCAGTAGAGAATGTGCAAGAGGCAACTGATGGATCGATGATTCTCTCTCATCAATGTTTCTTTTCTTTTTTTCATCAATACAAAAGTTTATTTAACAAAAGTTCAATGTGAAAATGGACAGGACTCTATCTTTATATTGTAGCAAAACAGGTGCCATGGAAAGGGGATATGTGGAAGCAATTGATTTCTCTGGTAACTACAGCCATTCTTCATACTCTTTTCAAGGCATCTAACATGATGATATAATACTATTTCCTCGGATTACCACCATTCCAATATTGTTCTGTTGCCCATCCATTGCCATCTCCACACATTCATCTATCACAAGATTCATAAAGGGATCAAATCCCCGTAATATTCCTTGGACATGTCTGCCACCATTTAATTTCAATGATAACTTCTTGTCCATACATTTTTTTAACTCGGGAGGGTGAGCTTTGCTCATGGTGTCCAAGCGAGCTCACAGACACGGCCTCTCTCCTCTCTCATCAATGTTTCTAGCTCTCTATCCCTCTCTCTTCCTCTCTGTAAAAAATCAATAAAATATATTTTAAAAATAAAATGAGATCCTATTACGTTATAAGGTTTATTCTACACTAATGACTTAAAAACACTAATATTTGTTTCCTAGAAAGTACCAGCATCTCACCCTAAATTTTTGTGTCAAATACTATAAAACCCAGGGAAGAAGGGCTCACCGCTAACACAGGAGCCTGTGACCAGATCCATCTGGGTTGATTACTGGTTAGGTCCCATGCCTGACTGGAGAGGGATTTATTCCTCAAATCTCAACCCTGCCATCAGAGGAACATTCTTAAGCAAGGTCAGATCAACTCTGTTTAAAATGCACCAAAGATCCCCTACTTACCTCCCAGAAAAATCCCCTTAACATGGCCTATTGACCCTTGAGTCTGAGCCCAGCCCCATGTCTGACCATCAGTCCTCCCACATCACCTGTGCTCTCCCACACTCAGCCTGCCTCCTAGACACACCACAGGCTGCAGCCTTTGCCCAGGCCCCAAGGCACTGCACTCCCCTGCCTCTGCTGGGCCTTGTCCCTTCTCCTCAGCATCTCTGCACCCCCAATTCCCTTCCTGGAGGACCTTTCAGAAGCCTCCAGGGCCATTCCTACAACTGAACCACCAACACTCCTTCTCATCTGTTTCCTGTTTCTACTCTTTGTATATTGCCTTAATTTATGTAATATTTATATTTCACTGACTCGTTTAATGTTCTCCAATGTAATTCAGATTAGCGCCTGCAGAATTTCCTGGGTTTTGGCTCGCAGATTTGGTTGTTCTGATTGCCAGTTTTATGATTTCCACTGAATACATATTGGCCATTTTGAGTTCTCAGGATCTCAGGGGATAAAAAAAAATATGATTATAGTCTTTCCACTAATCTGAAAGGTGTTATAGCTCATGGACCTTATAGTTATTCTGTATCTAGACTCTATATTCACAATACCTGGTACTCTATAAAAAATATCCAGGCACAGCCCTAGCTGGGTATTGATGAGTCTGGGGTTTGATTCTGGTTAAGGGCATATGCCCAGGTTGTGAGTTCGATCTCCAGTCGGGAGTAAGAGGCAGCCAATCGATAATTCTCTCTCATCAATGTTTCTATCTCCCTCTCCCTCCCTCTCTGAAATCAATAAAAATATATTAAAAATTATATATATGTATCTAGGCAAAAAGACAAACCAATACCAGACAGATAACATAAACATGAAGAAGATGCAGATATTGAAAAGATTAGGCCAAGATTTGAATTGTGATTGATAAGTTCAAGGAATGAGATGTTTGGAGACTTTTCATTAAAAAAATTGAATCTATGTGTTGAGTTAAATTGTGTCCTGAACTCCCAGTACCTGAGACTGTGGCCTTATTTGGAATAGGGTCTTTGCAGATATAGTATTTTTAGATAAGGTGATACTGGATGAGCGTGGCCCTACTCAATGACTGGTGGTGACCTTATAAGAGAAAAATGTGCACACAGGGAGGTCATATGGCAACAGAGGTAGAGAAGGAAGTGATGCAACACTAAGGTTGCCAGGAACTAACAAAGTTAAAAATAGGTAAGGAAGAGTTCTTCCTTGAGAGTTCAAGGGAAAAGAGCCTTACCAACACCTTAATTTTGATATCTCACCACCAGACCTGTGAGAAAAATATTTTTTTTATATTAAGTAAAAAGAAAAAATTAAATAATAAATTTAGAACTAAAAGTTCTTTTATTTTTCAAGAACTAAACGTTCTTAACTGAAGTTAAGAACATAATTGATGTTTAACAACAAATTAGACTCACCTGAAGAGAATGAGTAAATTAGGAGATGGATAATAAGAAATATCAAGCCTTAACCAGTTTGGCTCAGGGATAGTGTCGATCTGTGGATCGAAGGGTCCCAGGTTTGATTTTGGTCAAGGGCACGTTCCTCAGTAGCAGGATTCTCCCTGGCAGGGTCCTTGGTCTGTGCTCATGAAGGAGGCTGTATTGAAATCAATGTATTTCTCCTACATCTATTTTCCTGTCATTCTCTCTCACTCTCCAAAAATCAATGGAAAAATATCCTAATATCCTCAAG